ATAAGCAATAATGAAAGAGGATCTAAAGTACAACTGAGCACATCACTTTCAAGACATTAACTAGACTGTACCAAAGTGCTGCAAAGAGCAGATATTATAGGCAAATTCTCATTTACTTCCCACCAAACACCTCAAAGTAGTAGACAGGTTATTTTTGTCTTTAATGAATTCAAGGTGTTAACAACAGTTCATATATCTTTTTAAGTTACTCCACTAATATTATCTTCAAAGACGGCTAAAATATTATCTGTAATGGTGATTATTAAAATACATACCATTTTAGAAAGAAATTTCATTTCTCACTTTTTAGACTGAGCTATTTGGTGTATGCAACCAGTTACTAACAGAGTCTTGATTTCACACTTTAAATAAATAGGAAATAGAAAATGAAGAATGAATAATACTTTTACTACCACTACATTCAGAATTACAAGTATATTTATTTACTTGTCTCTCAATGGCTGAAGTAAATGGCAAATCCTGTGTTAATCTCCATCATTACAGGTAGAAAGTGGGGACATTCAAATTTAGCAGAAAAATTCTAGTGCTGTGACCTTTTTCCCCACAAAATTTTCTATGTTAAAGAAAAAAGTCTCGATTCCCAGTCAGGGCACATGCCTGGGTTGCAGGCCAGTTCCCAGCAGGGGACACACGAGAAGCAACCATACATTGATGTTTCTCTCCTTCCCTTCCCTTCTAAAGATAAATAAATAATAAAAATCTTTAAAAAAAAAGAAAAAAGTCTCTTTTTAATTTTTTAGATTTTATTTATTTATTCTTAGTGAAGGGAAGGGAGGGAGAGAAACATCAATGTGTGGTCGCCTGTCACGTGGCCCTCACTGGGGATCTGGCCTGAAACCCAGGCATGTGCCCTGACTGGGAATCGACCCTTTGGTTTGCAGCCCACGCTCAATCCACTGAGCTGTAGCCAGGGTCAAAAGTCTCTCTTCTATACTACTGAATATCACATTTTTCATGATTATAAATGGAAATAACTGCCAAATTATTAGGAATTGGTAAAAATAGTTTTTGTAATGAAAATATCTTTTTCTTTCTTTTTTATTGCATTCAAGTACAGTTGTCTCCCGTTTTCCTACACCACTACCCTTCACCCCAGCCACCTAAAAACAGTTTTAAATTAAAAACAAAACAGGGAACAAGTACTGCATGTATTCAAAAATTATTCAATAATAATTCAGTTGCAAAAATCCTGTCTACCTATTTTTCTTATAGCTATTTGTTAACTATATAACAGTCAAAAATGGCAGCTGCCTCTAAGGTTTATATTTTACACACGTAATTATAAGCTACCACTATGGAACTCATTTTTAAGTCATCTTAACATTGTCTTCCTGTCAATAAAGTGTTCATGTTTAAAAGGTCACTATGATGATTAAATAATTATAAGCCTTAGTATAATACAACAATTTAAAAATAGGGTTGTACCCCCAGTTTTGAAGTTAACTCCTTATTTACATAATACACATAAACTGTTTAGAGATTTTGATAACAAAGGAACATAAAACAATTCTACGCTTTCACAGAATTTAAGCACCTCAAAACTCTAACTCCTTTAAAAGACTTATCACAAGTGCAGCCCAGCTTTGGTAATATAATGGAACAATAAAAATAACTTGGTATCTATCTTGCACATTGCCTATAATATATAATTATATTTACATTTCTCGATGAGATTTATGTATTTTTCTACTCAATTGTGTATTTAAAATGTATAACCCCACATACAAAGGTAAGTTACGCACAATGTACAATTTCTCAAGGCAAGCTCCTCCAGATTCTTTGCTTCTAACTAAGTCCCCCTGCTTTTTGCTTGTCAGTCTAGTAAAAGCATGTAATTACACAGAATAATTCTTTACTTCTAGTTCTCGCTGGCCTAATTCCAAATGCTGAAATGGTAACACTGCCATTGAACAGATCAACATGTAAAGAATGAATAAATGGTCAATTACTAATGGTTGCCTTTATTGTTTTTCTAGCAGAGGCAGTTCCCAAAGTTTGAAATACTATGTGCAAATTGTTCTATTCTAATTTTCCTGTAGCGCTGAATCTATTTTTCCAAAGAAAATAAGTTATATTCTTGTGCTTTGCTTCACTGGCTAGATTTCAAAGTCTACATACTCCATAAAGGACTTCAGTTTTAAGTTAAAAAAACCTTTATCATGTACCATTTATGAAAATAAGATTTAACCATAGCTGTTTAATAACTACCCTTTTAAAAAATAAAAATAAAAACATGTAATGAAAATCTTTCAAAGGTATTGTGTATGTCCTGTTTTCTTAAAAATACTGTGATTGGTATGAACATTTTAAAAACTACTTACTATGAATTACTATAATTGTACTATCCATAAATATATGCTACTACAGATGTTATTGATAGTCTCTGTGAAATCACAGCTATTACAGCAATCCATATCCACACTCTTATGGCATGGACTTTTTTTCTTTCTTTGTTTATCACCTTTTGATGTTTTTAGTGTGCCTAAATTGACCACTCCTCTAAAAATTCTGCTATTTTACCTTGAGGCAGACTAGTAAATAAGCTATAAAAGTAGGCAGAATATTGTGTGCAAAGCAGAAAAACCAGGAGAGGGTGAAGGCTTTGAAAATAAAGATGAGGGGTTTTCCTGGTAAATAAAATAATAAAAAAACAATAATGTATAAAATTCTGTGATATCAGAATTTTTCTTCAGAGAATCTCTATGTCCCAAATAAATGTGATTGCTGGATATTCACTGCATTAATTCAATCATAAGGAGTGATGATTTTAATATGTAGGAGAAAATTCTAAATAAGATGCCAAGAGTACCAAAATTTAGGGGAAAAGGTGCCAAAGTCAGGTGCTCTGTGTTAAGGGAGGAGAAAAGTGAGCCTGCTGTCAGCAGTTTTTGTGTTCTCTGTGCGGAGGAGGCACTGGTCCACTTAAGAGACATAATTTATGTTAAGTTTATAGCACACTTTTCAACATTTTTAACACAAAATTAATCAGTGGCTTATTACTCTTTTGTATATATAGAGAGAGCACATGCATATTAACTACTTGAACTGTTTGTTTTGTTTTGTTTTGTTTTTTAAGCTAAGGGTAAAGAGAATGAGCAGACAAGCCACAGACGTGGAGGAAATATCTACAAAAGCGATAACTGATGAAAGATTTTAATCTAAAATACATAAAGAAATGTTACAACTCTACAATAAGCAAAGAAACAACTTGACTAAAAATGGGCAATAGATTTGAATAGACACCTCACCGATGAAGATATACAAATGTCCAGTAAGCATATGAGAAAATGTTCAACACTGTGTCACTGGGGAATTGTGAATTAAAACAAGATACCACCACACACCTATCAGAATGACCAAAGTCTGAAACACCAGCAACAAACGCTGGTGAGGATGTGGATTAAGAGAAACTCTCGTTCATTGCTAGTGGAAATGCAAACTAGTAGAGGAACTCGGAAAGAGGGTTTGGCAGTTTCTTACAAAATTAAAACACACTCATCATACAACGGGTAATTGTGCTCCCTGGTATATTCCCGAGTGAACTGAAAATTTATGTCCACACGAAAACCTGACTAGAACAAGCAATCACAGTGTCCTTCAGTGGGTGAATGGATAAACTGGTACATCCAGACTATGGGGTATTATTTAATGCTAAAAAGAAACGAGCTATGGAGCCATGATAAGACATGGAGGCAACTTAAATGCTTTTTACTAAGTGAAAGAAGCCAACTGGGAAAGGCTACGTACTGTATGATGCCAACATTATGACAGTCTAGAGAAGGCAAAACCATGAGCAATGCAAAGGCCAGTGGTTACCGAGGGATTCGCAGGGAGGAAGGATAATCGGGTGGAGCACAGAGGATTTTTCGGGGGAGAAACTGTTCTATGTGATACAGTCACCGCCCCGCCCCCCACATCCACCCTTTCACTTTCCACAGCTTCAGTTACCTAAAGTCAACTGTGGTCAAAAAATATTGAGTGGAAAATTCCAGAAATAAACAAATTTTAAACAGTACTCTGAGTAGCATGATGAATCCCATGTGGTCCTGCTCCATTCCACCCAAAACATCAATCATCCCTTTGCCCAGCGTTATACACTGGACACACTGCCCGATGTACTGGTGTCTCGGTTATCACATCAGGGCTTATGTTCCAGCAACCCTCACTCTACTTTCTAACGACCCCAAAGTGCAAGAGTAGTGTTGCTGGCAATTCAACTACGCCAAAAAGAAGCTATAAACTGCTTCCTCTAAAAACCACAGTAAATATAAGGCTCAGTAATATCTCGGTTTCAGGCATCTACTGGAGGTCTTGGAAGGTATCCCCCTGGATAAGGGGGACTATTTACCACAATTGGGGATACATCATGAATTTGTCAAAACCAACAGAATGTTCAACACTGAGAGTGAACGCCAATGAAAACTATGAATCTGGGGCCATAGTGCTGTACCAACGGGGGTTCATCCACTTTAGCAAGGGTACCGCTGTGGTGTGAACCGCTGACAGCTGATGCTGCACACATCTGGGGACTGGGGTATGATAACTCTCTGCTATTTTTGCTGGCATAAATAAAGTTTATCAATTCAAAAATGGAGGCGTATTTATTGCCAAACCCAGACATTTAAACGTTCTTGATATTACAAACATATTTCAAAACTTTGAAGCCCTAAAAAACAAGATTACATTTTAAAATATTACATACCTGTACCCTTTAGTTTGTATCTTTTTTAAAAATAAAGATGGGTTACATATTTCTTCTGATACATAAGTCTATATAAAAATGATAAACATTTAAAGTTTTCAACTTTTTAAAGTTTTCAACTTATAAAATAGAAATCAACATCTGTACGTAAAACCCTAATGTGACTTAATATATAGGATGAAATACGAACTTCTCCCATCTACTCTGAAACTACTATAATAATTTTACCAGTTTAGATACAGTTGCTAAAACGGGATGGTAACACATGAGTCTTTACCTTTGAGTCATAATTTTGAAGGCATCTGGGAGGTAGCAGTCTGTATTCTCCATCTGAAACGGGTCAGCGTCGCAAATCTTGTCATCCGTCCGCCCGTAGTTGGCGCTCTCGATCATGATGACATCACTGCCCGGACAGCGCAGGTCGATGGAGTAACCTTCACAGGACAGTTCTCGCCTAACTAGCCCAAAGGGTAACGCTGCTCTGCTGAAACCTTTAAAAATAAAGTAATAGTAACTTAGTTATAACATATATGATTTAAATAGGGCATTCTTAAGTAATATATTTTGGGTCTATATTCAGATGTCACACAAACTATGTTTTGTTAAGTTTTCCATTCATACATTGATTTACATCCTTGGTTCTTTACCATGTGTCAAGAACTTATTATTACACACACACAAACACACACCCCTTCAGCGGAACTACTCACCTTAATAAGAGTTTAAAATTACTCTCAACAAAATACTTCCTGTATAATCTCACAATCAGAAACTAAGTGGTTCTTTTTGAGCTAAGTTATACAAAAATGACAAATTTAATCAATGAATAGTTTTACAAATATAGAATGCAACAACGAATCAAGAAGCAGTTTTCATTTATGCTGGAATAAAAACTCTGCTATACACTGGCCTTACAGTCTCATTTAATGTAGACACATTAATTCCTGCTAGTAGCATTACCTTAAATACTTTTGTCTTTGCAGTTTCCCTCCCAAGTAACTAAGTCACTCTACCAGTAAATTATTATAGCACAATAATATTTCAATTTATACATATTTTATTTAAAACTGACAAAAATCAGCAGATGGGCATTCAAAGGAGCCAGCACGGCTCCAAGACAGTCTGGCAGGTTGAAACACCCAGGAAAGGGTCAAGTTCTCCAAGATTCAGTTCTGTCAATTTACAGAATGGAGATTAAAAAACATCTGTGATGTTACTTTTTCTACCTGTGTGACTCTAATATGAGATAATGTATATAAGTGCCTAACTAAAACACCTGTATGAATTCATCCATATTGCATTAGGCAAAGTATAGATAACCACTGTTCATGAATGCTGTAAAAATTTCCCAAATTAAAGATTAGAATTTTAAGTTTAACTATTTTTCACTGATGGGCTGGTCCCAAAGCAGTAACAGAGCACAGGAGAAAAGGTAAAAAGTAGAAACAAAAAAACCAGGACAGCCAAGAACTGTGAGTGGGAGAAGCACATCTTCGCCAAGCTGGTGTGCTACGCATTGGTTAGCGGCCATATCAAAAACTTGTCCTAATTGCCTCAGATCTTTGTAATTTACATTGTATAACCTATCACCACCTATATTTTTCCTGTTACAACATATTAGCAACACCTTTGGTATCTTTTTCTTATTTCTATCCTTTAGTTACAATGCATCACAGGAATTACTCCTTCTTACTGAAAAATACCGACCGTCAGAGTAGCCTGTTCTAAAACACACACTTGCAGTTGAAGAGCAGGGCAGCATTCAGGTCAATCCAAAGCCAAAATCTTACTCTGTTTAACGTGTACCATCGAATGCCTCTCACTAATTCAGTGAAATATAAAGTCGCCTGGATAAATGTGCACTCTCTTTATCATATGAAAATAATTATACAAAAGGGTTAGTGGGTTTACACATGAGTATGATTTAGAAAATTAGCAATTCTCAAACCTGGGTGCCCTCTCAGTTTTACTAAGAAAACTAAAGGTGTAGTTGAAATGAAGAGGTAAGGAAAGGACACAATTTGGAGCACAGTAATCTGTAGGGGATTGTGGCAAACCCCAACTCTGTTAAATTTCCACTAGGAAGGTTCATGGACTTAGGAGATCCTTAAAAGTATGTGGAGAGGTGCACTATCAACAAAGAAGAAATAGTGAAACTGAGCTGGGAGAATGTCAAGACAAACAGAAAATAGGCCAACTTTTCTGAGACTTTATTTATGAACTCCCCCAAGTTCATAAATCAACTTTATATGCTATGGTCTGTCCAGAAAATATCCAGCCAATATTATGGAAAATAGACATTTATTGAAAAAGCTACAGGGTACAAGAAACATTGTATGTAGGACAATGATACCTCAGGCCCCTTCAAAGTAGGCACCTTGGGACCTCACACAGTTCTCCCAATCACCATCAGCTGCCCCGTCATATTTTCCTAAATCCCATCAATGGTCTGAAATCTCTTCCCTTTCAAAGGTGATTTTAGTTTAGGGAAAAGCCAGAAGTTGCAGGGCACCAAATCTGGGTTTTAGTGGGGGTGAGTCACCTGGGTGATTTGATGTTCTGCCAAAAAACTCTGCACGAGACACGATGCACGAGCAACCATGTTGTTAGTGATGAAGCTGCGCAATGCCCATAGCTGTGGCCTTCCGAATCATCCGAATAATTTCCGCAGAGAAATGTTCAAGCTTAATGCAAAATTTGATGCAAATTCATTGCTTTATTGGCTCAATCATTTTGAATGCGACGGCCACACAGTACACATGCTCACTCAAGGGAGTCCAGTGCCCTCACTGACTAGTACAGTGCAGTTGTCATCGTTCACACGTGTGCATTCCAGTCCACTCTCTTTGGCTGCCAGGTTACACTGATGTTGTGCAAACTGTTCTTATATTAACAATGGCTGGATTTTTTCAGACAGACTACACATACACCCACACACATATATAAAACTGCTTTCTTCTGCCCTGACTGGTGTGACTCAGTGGACTGAATGCCAGCCTGTGAGCCAAAGGGCAGCTGATTCAATTTCCAGTCAAGGCACATGCCTGGGTTGTGGGCCAGGTCCCCTGGGAGGGCGTGCAAGAGAGACAACTGATCAATGTTTCTCTCCCTTTCTTCCTGCCTCCCTTCCCCTCTCTCTAAAAATAAATTAAAATCTGCTTTAAAAAACTGCTTTCTTCCATTTCCCAGTTACTGGACTGGACTGCCTTCACAAATAATCCAGCTTAAACTAGTTTTATTATATTCATTTTAATTGAAATATTTTAGGGTGTCAGAAAGGATCTCTGTTTCTGAAGCAAAAGCTGTGTGGAAATTCGAATAAGTGACATAAAATTGTGGAGCACAGTTTAAGTAAAAATATTGTGATTAATGCTAATTTTAAAAATTCAGTATTTTCACTAAGTTAAACTTATGAAAAAGCACAACAAAGCTGATTCCTAAACATTTACTTATCCCCTTTCCTACACACTAATGACTTAATATACTGAGTCAAATGGAAGAAACTCACAGGTATGGCCGATGTTACTTAATTACACTTTCGTCTTTTGTAGATGAAGTAACTCCTTTTTTATTGTTGTTCAAGTACACTTGTTTCCATTTTACCCCGACCACTCTCCCCCACCCCACTACCTCCATCTCCACCTCCCACCCTCAATCCTACTCCCCTTTGGCTTGTCCATGGGTCCTTTATACATGTTCCTTGACAACCCTTCCCCTTTTTTTCCATTATGCCCTCCTCCCCTCCAGTCATTGTCAATCTGTTCTTTATTTCCATGTCTCTGGTTCTAGACAGTGTTTTGCTCCCTTGTTTGTTTTGTTGATTATGTTCCACTTATGGGTGAGATCATATGGTATTTGTCTTTCACCACCTGGCTTATTTCATTTAACATAATGCTCTCCAGTTCCATCCATGCTGTTGTGAAAGGTAAGGGTTCCTTCTTTCTTTCTGCCGTGTAGTATTCCATTTTGTGTATGTGAAGTAATTCTTAACTGTTTATTTTTAAAAATAATTTGCCAAGACTACACGACTGATACCTAAACATTACTTTGCATCAGAGTTATCTGGTAAATGTTTTTAAAAAGATAGATCTTAAAACCCTAATCCACACCTATTCACTCAGAATCTCCAGGTTCAGATGAAGCTAACATATCTGTTCTGGGGGAGGAAAGCATGAACTTATTTGCAGCACACTGATATGTAATAACTAAGATATGCCAAGAATTTCTCCCAGGTCTTTATAAAATAGTTCTTATTTTTCTATTGAGATTACGTATCTTTAAGTCATTATCATCATATTTCCCTTAACTCTCTAACATAATTTTATTTTAATCTTTCATTTTATTCTTAAATAAATAATAAATAAAAATCTTTTATTTTATTCTTAATAGGCACTCTGAAATGTTTATCTGCTAAACCTAAGGCCTGGGCACACATCAGAGGAAGTTTATATAGAATGTGTTTTCTCCCGAGTATGGGTCGACTTCCCAGTTTCTTTGCATGTCTTCTAACATTTTGTTGTTGAAAACCAGACATTTGAAATGTTACAGTATTTGCAACATTTGATTCAGATCTCTTTCCCCTGAGAATGGTTGCTGTTGCAATATTTTCTTTTTAGTATCATGACGGGATTTAAATCTGTAGGATTCATCTCCCCCATAGTGTGCAGCTCCTCCTACATCACTCTTATTATTGTTACTGCTGCTGTTGCTATTTTAATTCTGATTTTTATTTTCTCCCCAAGCTTCCTAGGGAGCACCCCTATCTCCACAAAGCTTAGTGATCAGGCAATGACTGAACAGAGACTTTTCACAAAAACCATAAACCCGTAATACAATCTCTAACCTCTGCAGCATGATCTGAGTGTGTGCTGGGAGCGTGTTCAGAATCCAGGACATGATCAACTCAGCCTGGGTTCTTTTTCTCATTGATGCATGTGTATAGCTTCCAGTTTCTCACGAAAGCACAGAAAACTTTGGGCTCTTTCATTTCCAAGTTTTCCTGATTATGTTTTGGACTGGGCCTGCAGTCTCCCCACCTGGGACCGCCACCTCAGGCAGAGCTGTGGGTTCTCCCCACCAGTTTTCCACAGTGTTTACTGCTTGTACTGACAACACTGCTGGAGGTGAATCCCCCCAACCCCACACCAAGCCACTTGAAGTCAATGAATTACAAGGCCCACCCACAGAAAGGACCCAGAGGTCACGCATATCTCAGGAGTTGCAGCGGGGGTGGGACAGCAGCAGCCCAGACTGGCAGGCTTTAAACTTTCCCAGTTCACACCACAAGTTCTGCCAGCTTTTCATAATTCAATGCCCCCAATTTCTCACATGGCTTTGTTTAGTTTCCAGAGCCCCTAGAGTGGCTGTTGTTGACAATTCTTTCCAGGTTCATCCTTGTTTGGGAATGAGAGGGATTGGCCGCTCTTGTCACCCCATCATCACCAGGAGTTCCTCTAAAGGCTACAAATAATTACTGACTATATTTTCTCAA